AAAAACTGATGATGGTGGAAAAATACACCGAAACGTATTTTGATTGATAAATAGAGACAATAAATGACTGAAACCCAGGAATGAATTTGATATAATAATAATGTAATAGTTTACCTACTTATGTACTTCTACTTGAAAGTCACACACACTATCGTCAGTCTATATTTCATTTATCCCAAGATAGGAAGATAACAAACAGCTTTACTACCATCATAGGTAACCGTAATGTGCCATTTTTATTCCAAAAATACTCGGTGCAATCTACTCGTTGTAATTAACGAACGATAAATTCAGTTTAATATAAACATCGTTGTTTGTTAGTCATACATATTATGTAGAATTGTTTGAATAATGTTGACCCACTTGAGCCCCCCCAACGATAATAGACGATAGCGGGTTATGGTGACAATGAAAAATTCTGTTTTTAACGTAATATGTTTTGTAATTTTTAGAAATTTCTGTCACTAAAATGGCACAAAATTTGTATCTTTTTTCTACTGTGCATATGAGCTGATTGCATCAGAACAACACTAGACCTGACAAGTCTCAACCTGATGTGAAGATTAGGATAAAATCCTATTACCTGAAGTCCGTGGCAACTGGATAAATACTCGTTAATCAACGAGAGAAATTGGCATTCCCTTCAGTCGTTTGTCTGGCTGTTTTTCATGACTTATTTATAGCGAATAATGTTTGCTCAATGTCCAGAACGTTGAACCTCGTGCTCGTGGCGTCCCAGTTTATAAACGGCTACTCGCATTCATTCCACTCTTTTCGACTTAAGAATATGGAAAAACATATTGGAGGGTTTCAGTGAATCGAATTATTTCCCGAAATGTGCCATAAATGCCGCAAATCGGATTGTTCACACATACTTTTAAAACATTAAGTACCTAGGTATATCGATTTAAAACGTATCACTTATAAACATTGCGTGTTTATAAGTGGGGGTGGACTATTTTTAAGTCTTTTTTAAGTCTAGTGGCCTAAAGTATGGCTTTCTTGCGGTTCGAGTTAGATACCATATCGTAAAATATTAACCAAACGGTACCGTACCAATGTTTACACAGAGTACTACAAGAACATAGAAGTTGCATCATTTATAGGTGGTTAACCTTTGTGAACGTAATCAATGTGATGCAGTGAGTTGAGTATTCTAGATGAGGGCCAGCAGTAGGTAGTTGTTGTAACGTTTAAATAACAATTTTCAAAGAAATGGCTTCGCATGTGAGATATGCCACATGGCTCTCCATGACCTAGTACATTCCGGAGGTGCGACGAGCCAAAACGATGCTGACAAAAACTCACAATAAAATTCTTATTTATAGCCTGGTGCACGCTACTACGATCAGTACGATCGTTTAAAAATCAATATAGCGTGCCTACTGCCAGCGACTTAACTGGTCCTCTACTTTAAAATATAGTCCGTATAGTCCGAGCAGTCCGGGTACCGGTTCTGTGCAGAGAACCACTTTACTTTCGACTCGAGAACCATAGAAAGAAAGAAGTAGCTTCAGTCGAGTTTAATTATCTGATTTACAGAACCCGTTTTAAAACCGGGGCCCCGCATTATTTCAAGGCATTAACTGTTACCTGCCTTTCATGGAAGACGATAATCGTTTTAATTTAATCGTTAGAAAATATGATAATGTAATTTGTGCCGGGGGCGCAATTAAACCTGGTACCTATTGGAAGTATGGTAGATGTAATGTTCCTCGTTTACAAATGAATCTATCAGCGAGCAGTAGGCCATTTAACGCTTAAAAAATTGAAATGACTAAACAACTTTTTTGATATGAACTGTACCTATGCAAAACCGCAAGGAACATTTACACGTAACGCTAAGTGGAACTAGACTTCATCTTAGTAATAGGTACCTATACATATACATATAATGGCTTTTAGCATCAGCAACGTCAAAATTATAAAACTATTATTGTTGATATGGATCTAAAATGTCTCAAATTGATCAACAATCGATGTTTACTTGCTTTTCCGATATTGTAAATAATTGTACGTAGCTTTAATCGCCATCCCTTGGCAGGCCAATCTGGGTCAATACAAAAGGCATATTAGAGCAGTTAAAACACATCAGGTTTCCGTGAAAATCCATTAGCACGATGCTATCAAGCATTTTTCTATAATAATCAGCTACAATTCTGATGATGATTATCATTATATAATATATATGTATATATAAGTTGAAGTGAACTAAAGGGGAATTAGGAAGGATACTGAGAACGACTCCGTCAACTGTTTCTGCTCTGGCGTATAATTTCAATGACTGGTGAACAGCTGGACTATATTGTCTGAAACAACTTGCTTTGTCTGATTGGTGATCGGACGGTGTTGTTTATTGACTTGAAAATATGCTGAACGCAAGGTCGATTAGAGGTTATTTGCTTTGCAAGCTATTTTCTCTGCAAAGTATAATCCAGTTGTACGTCATAGATGAAAACATGAACTACTGAAACATAAACAGTTTATGAAAGTGTTAGTTACCTATAACTAGATTTAACCAAATTTCATGTATGCAGAATAGATAAAGGTAAATAGATTAAAGATATCTCTTCATTTATTATCTACCTATGTCCTATGTGAAGAATGAAACTATGTAGGTATTACGTTATTATTTCAACAGAAGATTCAAGAATGCTTTAGTTTATTAGCATTTAACGATATTTTTACCATCCATAAAAGCGTTTCCTAGAGAGAAAGGATTTATAGTAAACCGATGATAAAGCTGGCTGCAAACTTTCAAATAGAAAAGTTTCTCTCTCGCCAGTCATAACAAACCAGACTAGGTACCTATCTGAAAACTTTACGATCTTTCTCATAACCCAATAAAAGTAGGTGTTTGAAAACTTTTTGGTAAAAATATGGGTAGTAGGTAAAGAGTCTGTAGTTACAACGCAAGCTAAGTTGTTACTTGATGCTGAGCTAAAACTCTACTAAAATAGTAGAAATTCCGCTTTAACTGGGTATATTTATTACCGCAAATTTGAACGTTTCATTCAAGAGTAGAGTACCAAATTTAAATTTTTTGGCACAGACCAAAACTGAAGAATTGATGCTACCAATTGGTTGGTTTTGTTAATTTGGACTGGTTTGCAGAGGAAAACGTATTGAAAGTGTTCATATTTTATAAACGCAAACCAGATACACATATGTACTTACTTACCTAAGTACTTTCTATTAATTATAAAGCAAAGTGAAGCCTACCAATTGCATAGATTGGTTGAGTTCAAACGCATTTACATAATTTGCCGTGATGACTAAGTACGAGAAATATAATGACCGTAAGTGAAAGTAACTCTATTGTGATTGGTTTCGCAACAACAAAGGTTACAACCGATAGGAAGTGGATTAATTGAGAACTGCTTTCACAATGCAGGCAATGTTGCCAGAGTTGGCCTTCTAAACTTCTATATCTATATATCAGCTGCTATCATTTTCCAAAGTTTGCGCTTAAATAAATTTAGAAAATGAAGGTGCATGTATGAAAGTAAACTGGAACGCATTACCTATGCATATACTCACTATGCATTGCGTATATACCTACCTACATAGTGCAATTACGATAGGAAGTGAAGGGCACCGTTACACATCAACAATAGAAGTAGGTATTACATTCATAACATATCCAAGTGAGTACCATTTCCTATTGAAATATTCCATTATTGCTTGGCGTGGATCGTAAAAAAGCAAAAACTCAGACCGTTTACATTCGAGTCACGGACCTAGTCGCTTCCTAGCCACAAACCTGAATGTTTAGGTAAGGGATTACGATTTCTGAATGTATTTAATTTGAATTATTTGCAATGGAAGGTGCAAAAAAATGCTCACTTCACCTGCTCTAGTGGGGAATCGCAGCTGTATTGGAAAAGTCTCACCTGCTCGGTCTGGTCAGAACACACTGTCCACTAGTAAATAGGCAGGATTGATGAAGAAATCCCCTATCGCATTCAATTGATTGATTAGGTACATGCCGGCGCTAAGTACTACTCGTATAAGATTAAAAACACTTAATGTTTGGAACAAAGTACCAGGAATCAATTATATGGCAAGAAAACATCAGTGCGAGCAGTATACCTACTAAATTAAATGCCCCCGATGTGTATAAATTGAGCACGACGGTACATGCCGGTGAATATTTTATGGACCGATTTACCATAGAGCCTTGAAAGTGTCGAGTGGAGGCAGAAAATAATCGACCAACGTAACGTGTAATTTTACTTATTCTGGAAATTAAAATGTATTTATAAATGTATTGTTTTATTCATAAGTGAATGTTAACGAGACATCTGCACGGTTTATGCAATTAGAGAGAGACGTCAGTCGCTATTTACAACCGAGGGGTCGTGAATTTATTACTAAGCTTGGCGCTTATATTTTCGCAGCGGTCTAGTTTGAAAATATGTATTGGGACACAAAGGTGGAAAAACTAAAGTTCTATAATTTTGAGAAAATCACCTTTATTAGTCAACCCTTTCCCATTGATAACCCGGTGTTACCACTTCTCTCTTATCCAAGCCCGAACCGAGAAAACTTCCAAACTTTGCCGACACTCGACTAAAGTTGAGCAAAAACAAAGATCTGCGTTTTAAAGTTAACTGCCTTGGATAACTTTTCGCATTACTTTGCAGTTTATTCTAAATGAAATAAAAAGTTGGGTTGTGGATGAAAATTCGGCAAAGTTTCGAAAGAGTGGGAAACTAATTTAAACTTTCTAATAAGTTTTATATGACCCGAACAAAAGTTTCGGGAAATGTTGCCCAGTGCTCCGTTACCGGATGGCAAAGAATTGATGTCAGGATTTATAAGATTATAATATAGAATGATGTACAAATGAGCGTTCTTGCTCATTTTGCCTCT